AAAAGCATGCAGGATTTGTGTGATTAAATACAGCTGTTTACATAAAATTAAAAAAAAACAATAAAATACAAAACCTTCCAGGGAGGACCTTTCCATTTGCCTACTCTGCTTGTGAAATTCTTACTAAATGTGCATGCCTCATTCTCCTAGAAATGTCCATTTCCTTATGTATTCACAGTTTCTTGCACAGAATAGATAAAATATGTCTCCACAATATGAATTGCCATGAAAACAAGACAAAGAAGAATGCAATTAAAAGATGTCCATCATAAGACGTCTTCACTAGCTGGGACCCAGTAGCCTTTAGACCTAACTTGATTCAGTCCCTAATCTGTGGCATCAAGTCTCATGGTTTTTACACATTTCCACCTAGTGTTTCGAGTAAATTGAAATATGGATGTCTAATCTTACATGGGAAGGAACAGAGCTTTCTAGCCTGTGAGATGACATCTATAAGCCACACGCTGTACTTGCTGGAGTTGAGCTGATGTCCAAGGGGCTTCGGGGTCTCGGTTTCAGGTTCTCTATTCCTCTCTGTCCTTGGCACAGCTACTGCCTCCCTGCCTCGCCTTGGCCTTAGAGGGTGGAGTAAATCTGCAGACCTGGCTGTGGTCCAACAGGAGCTTGTGGCCCATGGAAAGACAGGCCAGTTTGGGCAGACAGTGCCCAAGGGGTGGGATGCAGCCATCCTACAGGCCAGTACATGGCACCAGCTCGACGGGCACAGGGGGCTGGTGAGTGGTAGGAAGGGCCCACAGGAGGAGAGAACTTCACCAGGGAGCGGCCTCTGCTCAGGCAGAGAGGCTGCAGGAAGTCAGCCAGGCAGAGGGAAGAAGGGCAGCCCTGCAGGCAGACTTGGTAGGGTTGGAGACAGAGCGCCAGGGAAGTGCACTCCAGAGAGGTCATGCGGGAGAGAGAAGCTGAGCCTGCAGCTGCCTGGCCGTCCGGGGAGTGGTCTATGTGGCCAAGAGGGCAGCGAGCAGAGTAGAGGAAATGCTAAGATGATGGAAAGGTCTAAATGCTGAGGGTTGGGAAGCTGGGGATAACCAATAGGAGAGCGTGGGAAGCTGGGGTTGACCAATAGGAGAGCGTGGAAAGCTGGGGGTGACCAATAGGAGAGCGTGGAAAGCTGGGGTGACCAATAGGAGACCGTGGGAAGCTGGGAATAACCAATAGGAGAGTGTGGAAAGCTGGGGGTGACCAATAGGAGAGCATGGGTAGAGCTGATTCCAGGGTGGAGACCTGATGGGTTTAGGCCACCAAGGGTGGGGGTGTGTTGCCTGGAGACACAGAGGCGGTGAAGATGTCATAGGCCAGGGGTTGGCAACTTTCTCTGGAGAGGATCTTGTAGCAAATGTTTAGGCTTTGGGAGCTGTGCGATCATTTTTGTGGCCACTCAGCTCTGCTTTGCCCTGTAGGAGCAACCACAGCCTGCCCAGCAAGCCCTGAGGGCAGCCAGGTGCCAATGGCATTCTATGCATGGCATGGAAGCAGAATTTCACTTAGTTTTTATATATCAGAAAATAATATTTGTCATTTGTGTTTTTCTTCAATTCTTTAAAAATGTCAAAGCTATTCTTAGCTCACCATGCAAAACAGGCTGGGTAGGCCTTGGCTTGGAGTTCCCAGGAGAGGACAGGGCCCAGATGCCTGAGTGGGTGCTCAGCCCCTCCATCACCCTGCATGGATTCGTATTTCCTATAGACAATGTGAAGCCCCTTCCTCAGCAGCCCCGACAGCTGCCCCTGTTCTTCCTTCTCGTGGGTCACAGTCTTGACCTCCCAGACCACTGGCTGTGCTCACCAACCTGTGTGTTTCCCTACCTTTGCATAATTTCTGCTCAAACTCTATGATCTCATTTGAAGTTTGCCACTTGGGTAAAGTTCATGCCAATCCTCCCGGCAGAGGGACTCCTCACTTCACTGGGCAACAGTGTGTGTTTCACTATCTTGTGTATCCTGAGGGAAGGAATGATGGACTGACAGATGGATAGGCAGGCAGACAGACACACAGACAGACACAGATTGGCAGGTGGACAGCAAGCACTGGGGCTGTGTCTGAAGGATGCAGGTGGTGAAGTGAAAGTTTTGTGAGTGGTTTGATCACAGCTGGTGTGATTTAAGGGATGATTCTCCAAGGCTGCAGAGAAGGTCCTATGTTCTATTTCATTCTATATCTCCATGGTCCTGACCTGTGGTTGCTAAGAGCTGCACGTTTCTCCCTTACAAGAAGCCCATTTCTCTGCCTCTTTTTAGGAGCAATGACTCAATTCTGAAGCAAGTCTTGGCAAAGATACATGGGAGGGTCACTGCAAATGGCAGTCACTCCACAGTCAGAATCTCCCGCCTGGTGCCCAGGTGTGGGGACAGGTCCCCTTGGATCACACTCTCTCAACAGCCCTACCAGCCAGTTTTGTCCCAGTGGGCACTTTCCAGGACCCTTTTAAAATCTGTCAGATGAGTCTAGTGAAATGGAAACAGAGTGTCACTAAAATCCCAGACTTCACCACCACACAATATATCCACATAATACTTGTACCGCTAAAATTTATACACACACAAATAAGCAGAGGGTAGGCTTGTTTTCTCAATAAATTGTGGTAAAAGGCTGTATTTCCTTTGCTCTGTTTTCCTGAAGCCCTAACATCGAGCTTTCAGCCTGTCTGCTCCATAAATCCTGGTTTCTAGGGGTTTGGCTGCAAAGCATGGCTCAGCCTTAGTCTCCACAGCAGGGATGCTGCCGAGCATGGGGTGGTCACTGGCAGTGACTAACACGTGACGGCTCATCTCGTACAGACAGAGTGCACCTCACACTGTCCCTCTTTGCGCAGCTTCACGGCAGCCTCGTGAGGTCAGCAGAGGACACTCTCGCTTCCTCTCTGCTCCTGAGGAAACCCATAGCGCACAAGGCTAATGTGTCCAGCAGCATCCAGCTCCTAAGAACGGCACCGAGAATACGCTCAGTGGATTTGACTTCAGGTCCGCTAAAGGCACCGTGACCTAAGATGGCTCTGCTGGTCACAACTTTAGCCAGAAGCCCCCTTTCTTCTCAGGCTGGAGTCTGACCAGAACAATAGAGCTAAAGAAAGAAATCAGACCACCCAGAACAAGACCAACAAAATCAGGTGCGTAAAAATGGGCATCTAATGAAAGAATTGATCGAATCCTGGTAAAATGTCCATGAATTGGAAATCGTAGAAACAGTCTTCAGTTACAAGAACTTAATTTCTTTTGATCCTTCACTTGTAGATGAAGAAATGAAATTACAAGAACCCTGAAATTATTACAACAAACCAAACCGATAGAGCTATTTCTGTTACACCCTACAAGCACTCCTTTTTCCATTTGTCTGTGTTTCTGACCAATATATGATACATCAAAGAAATACTGAATTTCATTCTCTATACGAAAGAAATACTGAATTTCATTCACTATATGAATGAATTGTTATTAAAACAAGAAATACCATAGCTTAGAAAGATGTACAGCAATGCCTGTGGAATGATAAAAATGGTTTCGGAGCTCCCCAGCATTCAGTTTAAATATTGGGTGTGTACGTGTACTGTGATTTTAACTACATGTCTTTTCCTTTGTTTCTGATACAGAGCCTTCCTCTGTTGCCCAGGCTGGAGTGCAGTTGTGCCGTATTTCAGCTCAATTCAACCTCTGCCTCCCAGGTTGAAGTGATTCTCGTGCCTCAGACTCCGAGCAGCTGGAATTACAGGTATGAGCCACCATGCCCAGCTTATTTTTGTATTTTTAGTAGAAACAGGGTTTTGCCATGTTGGTCAGGCTGGTCTGGAACTCTTGGCCTCAAGTGATCCACCTTCCTCAGCCTCCCAAAGTGCTGGGATTACAGGCGTGAGCCACTGAGCCCGGCCCTAAGTATCTTTTTCAAAGAAAAGCTTGATAACCTTTTTAAAAAAGTGATTTCCTTCCCCTGTGCTAGACTGCATCATGATAAGACTTCTAAATCATCAGAACATTTACACCCCAAGTCCTAATTGGTAAAATTTGGCAATACATCTATATAGCCTAGAATTTAAAGCACACACGTTTAGAGAAAGAAATAAAATTAAACAAACACAGTCTTCCCCTCTAATGAAAAACTACTTACCAACTAGCTTTGTAGTGAAATGGTAACTAGCTCACACTCTTGGTGGTCGTTCAGATAAGCACTAGCCAACACGAACCACCCTTTCCTGTGGAGCCCATGGCATTACGTCTGCTGCGTGAGCTCCATTTTGTTGGTGCCACAGCAGCCACAAGCCAGCAAGGAGCAAAGCTACGGCTGCACCGGCAGTACCCAGGCCAGGCCTTGCTTCTCTCCATTGTCCCCAGTCATGGGGGACCCAGGTCCTTGGCTTGCTGAGAAGAGGCTGGGGGACAGGAGGCCACTAGCCCTGGCTACACGGGGAGTCACTGGCGAGCTTCTCAAAAATGCCATCATGCAGGGAGCACCCAGGGTCCTGATTTCATTGGTCTGGAGGGCAGGTTGGGCATGAGAATTTTTAAAAAACCCTCCCCAGATGGGTCTCATGTGCATGCAAGGCTGAGAACACCAAGGAGATGGGTACAGAGCTCCTCAAAGCTCCCGGGAGCCCAGGGCCACCTGCTGGCTCACCCGCCACTGTCTGTCTTAGGGCCATTTATTTAAAGGAAGCCTATTAAGATAAGGGCACTGTCCTCCCAGGACCACAAAATACAATGAGCCAGTCCGTAGCTTCTCCCGACACATACTCCAGGAGCAGCTGAGTGCACTGTCTCAGAGTTGCAGAGGGGAAACCATCTCATCTCCCTCCTTCCCCTGAGGTTTTGCTCACCTACGGCTGTGTGGGCCTGGGGGGCTTTCAGCTCCTGGGCTGTGCTATGAGCACCGTGCTCTCTGGGTACCCTTCGAGTGACCACCAGGCTCAGCTAAGTTGTAGGACATTGATATACACAACAACAACATCAGCAATGGCAACGTGTCTCTCATGTATAAGAGTGTGCACCTCCTACCATCATCATATCCTTTGGGGGATATATCCCTGGTTTGCACCTTGGGAGCTATGGCTCGCTTGCCATAAGTATGGTTGTCGTAACTGTTGTATTCAAACGAGGTCTTGGAATATTTCTCGAGCTCCTTGGCCAGGTTGGAACGCGGCGTAGTTGTGGGGACATTGTTTCTGTAGCCATACTGAGGAATCTCCAGCTGCTTCACAAAGCACATTGGCCTGAAAGTAACAAGACAACACACAATAGCTTGCTTTCTCGTGGCTTCGCACACGACGAGCTTCACGTTAAAACTAGAATATCTTACTTTTTAAAATGTGTTAAAGAGTCAGAACCTGTCACTAAAACGCCAACTATTTTCTGAAGAAAAGACAAAAAGTGTGTTTTAATTATATAGCACCAAATAAACTACCTAAAAGTCAACTTGGGCAATAAAAAAAGACAAGAAATAAAATATTTGAATATGACCCTTTTTCCTTCTTTCTTGTAAGAGGTCTGGTGGTGGCACGGTGATGACATGAGATACAAGGATGGGGATATCTCAGTCCTAAAATTTCTTTGCAGTGGTTACAAAGAGTTGCCAAATTACACACAAAGACATGGCCTCAGTAAGAAATCCCCCTTAAAAAATAAGAGGAAGTGGGCCGGGTGTGGTGGCTCACGCCTGTAATCCCAGCACTTTGGGAGGCCGAGGGGGGCAGATCACAAGGTCAGGAGTTTCAGAGCAGCTTGGCCGACAGAGTGAAACCCCATCTATACCGAAAGTACAAAGGCCGGGCGTGGTGGCAGGTGCCTGTGACCCCAGCTACTCCAGAGGCTGAAGCAGGAGAATCACTTGAACCTGGGAGGCGGAGGTTGCGGTGAGCCAAGATTGTGTCACTGTGCTCCAGCCTGGCAACAGAGCAAGATTCCATCTCAAAAAAAACAAACAAAAAATCCATAAATAAATAAGAGGAAGTAAAGAAATACTCTTGGGGACACAGACAGAACCAGATCCATTGTACCTAACTGGATAATGAGTTAGACTGCGTGGTAAGATGCCGCGACAAGTACTAGACTATGCAATGTTTTTACCTAGTGGCTATTTCTTAGTGTCTCTAGGATAAAATATTCAATAGGAAGGACACTGGGTCGTTGCTCACTCATAGACACTGTGTCTTGCCTGTGTGTGTGTGTGTGTGTGTGTTAGGTCCACCTCTTCATCTGTCTAGCTCGTAAGTGAAATTTTTAGACTTTTTATTTGAAACAATTTTAGACTTGCAGAAAAGTACAGAGATTTTCTTCATGCTCTGCCACCAACTTCTGCCAACGTGACCACCTTCATAATCGTAAGACAAGAGCAAAACCAGGCGATCAACATTAGTGACATTCTTTCCTAAACTATAGGCTGTGCTTGGATCTGACCAGTTTTCCACGGACGTCCTTGATTTGACGCAGCCATGCAGGGTCCCACGGTGCACTAAGGGTCCTGTGTCCTGTCCTTTCCCCGTGACACCTCCTTGGTCTCACTGGGCTGGAGGCTTCATGCACTGAACACTGAAGAGCTAGTCAGGTTTTGCAGAATCAGATACAGACAGATTCTTTTTTTTTTTTGAGACCACATCTTGGTCTTGATTCCCATGCTGGAGTGAAGTGGTATTATCTCAGCTCACTGCAACCTCCACCTCCTGGGTTCATGCGATTCCCTCGCCTGAGCCTCCTGAGTAGCTGGGATTACAGGCGCCTACCACCACGCCCAGCTAATTTTTTTATATTTTTAGTGGAGACAAGGTTTCACCATGTTGGCCAGGCTGGTCTCGAACTTCTGACATCAGGTGATCTGCCCACCTCGGCCTCCATAAGTGCTTGGATTATAGGCATGAGTCACCACGCTTGGCCATAGAGGCATTCTTAATCCTAACATCATTAATCATCTGACATCTTTGTATTTTTCTCAAGTAATTCTCCTGCCTTAGCCTCCCAAGCAGCTGGGATTATGTCCTGAGTCACCATGCCTGGCTACTTGTTTTATTTTTAGTAGAAACAGGGTTTTGCCAAATTGGTTAGGCTGGTCTCAGACTCTTGGCATCAAGTGATCCATTTTCAACAAAACACTTATAGACCTTTTCACATCAGCATTATTTTACACACTGTAAAGCTAACAAAATATTGAATTTTAAAGGCAGAGAGTTTCCTGTTGAATTTTTGTCATTCTAAACTACATAAAATGTATTCTGAATAAAGACCCAAACAAGGTTGATAGTTTAGCAGGAAAAAACAAAAGATGGTGAATTCATGTATTAGTGTTAGGTTCATAGCCAGCCTAGGAAGAACAAACTTTTTTTTTTTTCTTTGAGACGGAGTTTTGCTCTGTTGCCCAGGCTGGAGTGCAGTGTTGTGATCTCGGCTCACTGCAACCTCTACCTCCCTGGTTCAAGTGATTCTCCTTCCTCAGCCTCCCGAGTAGCTGGGATTACAGGCTCCTGCCAACACACCCAGCTAATTTTTGTGTTTTTGATAGAGACGGGGTTTCGCCATGTTGGCCAGGCTGGTCTCCAACTCCTGACCTCAGGTGATCCGCCCACCTCTGCCTCCCGAAGTGCTGAGATTACAGGCGTGAGCCACCACGCCTGGAGGAGGACAGTAACTTTGAGTAAGATTCTATTTCTTGAGTACTAGTATCAGTAAAATCTTCCACTACTGCCTGTACCTCTAACACAAGTGGGAAGTTTTAGCAGATGTATGAAATTATAATACCAGCAGGTACAAATGTGTACTGCTTAGGAAGGAAGCTCTTTAACAACAGATGTGCAAACAATATCCTGAGAGTTCTCCCTGGGGATGGAAATCTTAGGGGTTTTGATTCGTTTTCTTATTTTCCATAAGCATTGCTTGTGTGTCTGAATGAATATATTTCCTCGTGAGTCCTTGCTGTCTTTCTAAAGGTGATTTGCTCAGGTACGTCAGGATCATCCACACTTGCCTTGCAGATAACAGGTTTAAAACTACTATCTTGACTTTTTTTATGATTATTTTTATGATTAAGTTTTGCTTTTTAAAATATTTTATATACTGATTATTTCTTTTTTACTAATATGATTTTTATAAACATCATAATTATATTACATCGCAGAGTACAATGTGATGTTTTGACATCTGTATACAATGTGAAATGATTAAATCAGGCAAATTAACATATACGGCACTCAGTTTTTGTGGTAAGACATTTGACATTTGCTTTCTTCTTAGTTACTTTTAAATATACAATACAATATTATTGATTCTATTGTTGTGGTACAGATTTCAAACTATGCCCTTCCTGTCTCGCTGAGAAATATTACCTTAGACCAGCAGCTCTCCATTCCCTCAGCACCACCGCAAGTTTTGCTTTTTTATGATTCATTGAAACAATATTTAGAAGATATAAAAGTTATTTTAAAAAATCACCTATAGTTCTACTAGATACAAAAACTCTTAAGGTTTTGGTGTGTTTTTTTTTTATGATTAACTTAATGTATTTTATATTTACTTAAATAGAATGTTACTGTTTTGCATATTTTACATTTCCATTTTACATGATATTTAATTTTCCTTTTTGTTTCTTATGCTTTAAAAACAGTTTTTCAACAGCAGAGTGATACTGAAATCAATGAATACTGTGCTATTTAACTATTTTCCAATTCGTGTCAGTTCTGTCCTGTTAAACTGTCACTTAATAGGTACCCATGCAGACAACTCTTTTTACTCCTATTATTTCATACATTTATATTGGTTTTGGTGCCGTTACAAAGTTTTGATAACTGAATTTTTTTTAAAAAAAGAAAGGCAGATTTTAGGCTGATAGCCACGCCTATGCTACCTTTATAACAGCACAGTAATGGTTAAACATCCAATTTATTTACCAAATCACCAATACATTTATTTTCATTTCATTAATTTAGCCTATTTACTTCTTCTCAAATCAATAAAAGCAGTAATAATTGTCTACTGTTCTTGAAGCATTTTTCCAGGCAATATGAAGGTGCATAAAAAAAAATTAGCCAGGCATAGTGGTACGTGCCTATAGTCCCAGCTACTCAGGAGGCTGAGGTGGGAGGATCGCTTGAGCCCAGGAGGTCAAGGCTGCAGTGAGCCATAATTGTGCCACTGTACTCCAGCCTGGGCAACAGAGTGAGACCCTGTCTCTATAATTTTTTTTTAATTAGAAAAAAAAGACCGTGGGTGATCGTTTTTCAATAGTCCAAAGGCTGTGAGAATTCTGGAGAAGGGAGAATACTTCAGGCTATGACATTCGGTTACATTTGTGTGGAGAAGGTGATGTTTGAAGTAATGCCGACTGTTACTTCCAAATTACAGAAGTAATTTCTTACAGAATAGGTTGATTTTTAAGGTTAAGTACCAGGGAGGGGTGAGAAAGCATTCCAGGAAAAGAAACTCAGTGTCCAAAGGTGAGGAGGTAAAAAAGCCAGGAGAACCTTCAGGGAATAGCAAGAGCTGGGCAGCCAGGGACAGGACCAGATCAGCCCATGGGCAATCTGCTTACTCACCTGGTGGGCAAGGCCACGGGGTTCGGGCCTGGGAGAAGAAGCAGGACCCCAAGACTTAAAAAGATCAGGACCCGATCCGAGGGAGGGAGGAGGGGAGGAGAGGCTTCAGCTGGAGGGCCACAGGCCACGCCCTCACAGAGGCTGCAGGCCAGGGGCTGGAAATGAGGATATGACTTGGCCAACATTGGAAGCACCTGCTTAAGCCTCAGGCTCTTGTTCATTGAATGATTTATTTAAAGACTTTAAAAAATCATAACAGGTTAAATGACTGTTGGTTTAACTTCATTCTCTTTTCTTCCTTCCTGTCTCTTCCTTTTCCACTGAATGAGCACCCTACCTGGAGACCCTGTGGGGAATACAGAAGTGCTGGGGCAGGGACCCGACCTCCAAATGTCACACCCGGCATGCCAGGTAAGCCCTGGTGTGGGGGGGGGTGGAAAGCTGGCAGGAGCCTCATGCAGGGCTGATACACAGCCCAGCACCCAGCGCCTCCCTGGACAGCCAGGAGAGGCTGTGGTTGGTCACGTGCATTGCTGGGCTGGCCGGAGCCCTCCTGCTGCAGTGAGAAGGGGGCTCTTTCTTTCTGTTAAAAGCCGTGTCCTGGCCTGGCTCCCACCCCAGCTAGAGGCAAGGAGAACAGCTGGCAGCTGCCCTGTGGTTACTCCCAGCCTCTGCTCACTTGTCATTTGGTGGGGCTGTTCTTTGCAGCAATCCAGAGACAGGGATGCTAAGTTAGGAAGCCATAGGAGCAAGGCAGAAGGCTCAGGCCGGGACATGAGAGTGGAAGCTGTGTTTGGACAAGGTGGTATTCACAATTACAGGCAGGCCCCGTCGGGCTCCGGCTGCCGTGAGCTTCTCCCTGAAACCTCACTCCCTGTGGCCCCGGGAGCAGAGCAGCCCGTAGGTGGACAGTGCTGTCACCTGGTGACTTCTGGAAGCGCCAAGTACAAGAGTTCTTCCAGCTTCTCAGGGGTCTGGCCAAAGTAGGCTCAGGAAAATTAATAAAAGCCCTCACCAACAAAGAGATTTCTCCCACCATTTTTCATATTCTCCTTTGATTAATAACTATCCCTTCTTTAATTATACAACCCCTCGGGGTTGGTTTGTTTCATTGGGTGGGGGTGGTTTTCATGCTGCCAATAGTGAGCTGTGGGCTGGTGGGGAGAGGGAGGATGCCCTAGGACATGTTTAGCACTTGATCTTGCTGCCTGGAAGATGGGTGCGTTACCCTGAAGGGGCAGCTCCCTGCGATGGGTGGCCTGGGGGCACTTTGGGCTGGGACCCCCAAACGCAGACAACTCTAGAGGTACCTGTGCCACAGTTTACTGAGAAGTTATCTCTGGATAGTAGGATCATACAGGGTTTTGTTTTCTTATTTTTGCTTTAATTTTTATTCATAATTTTCTATACAGATTTTAACTTTTTGATTTAGGGAGGAAGGGAGTTTAATCACTATGTTAGAAGCTTCTTGGGATGCTATAAAATAATACTCAAGAACAAAAAAATTCATATTGCTTGCCCAATGATTTGCTTCAAGTGATTGGTCCCAAAGAAATAATTTCCTTTTTTATTTTTTTGAGACAGGGTATCGCTGTGTCACCTAGGCTGGAGTGCAGTGGTGCAGCCACAGCTCACTGCAGGCTTGACCTCCTGGGCTTAAGCGATACTCCCACCTTGGCCTTCTGAGTAGCCAAAGAAATAACAGAGGTAAAGTGCTGTATATATGAAAAAAAAATGTTTATTATTGCCTCTCTTTAATAGTAAAAGCGAGAAACAGCCTAAATGCCTCAAAGCCGGAACGTAGTTTTGGCACCAGGGGTACCTCACAACAGCCGAAGCCGCATGAACAGCACCCAGCACGGAGCTTCACGAACACACGTGGCGTGAAGATGACAGTTAAGATCACTGCCTAGAGGCCGGGCGTGGTGGCTCACGCCTGTAATCCAAGCACTTTGGAGGCCAAGGCGGGTGGATCACCTGAGGTCAGGAGTTCAAGACCAGCCTGACGAATGTGGTGAAACCCTGTCTTAAAAAAAAAAAAAAGATCACTGCCTAGAGACAAGGACGTTGGGTGAAAAGGCAGGATATAGCCAATTGTCATAGTTTTTATGTGGATGAGGATTTGAAGAGATGTAAAAGTGAAAGATAAATAGAAGGCTTGTGTGAATGGGGAGCGTAACCTCCCAAAGCTTAAATAAAACAGTGGTTTCCGCCAGATGATCTGTAAGGTGTCGGCCGTTGTAACATTTGGGTCAATTATTTAACCTCTCTGCACCCTGGGTTTTCTCACTTGCCAGGTGGAGGTGACAACACCTACACTCACCTACATCTCAGGACCTTTGGGGTAACAGGAGGCAGCTCTGCCGGCTTTGGACGCGAGAGCTCCCACACGAGGGGTGCCCATTCCTCCAGCATCATCAGAAACATGAGCACCAGCCTGTAGGTTGGTGTGAGGCCCTCTCCTCTAAATTAGGAGAGAATTACTTTGGGCATCTCATTAATTTTCAAAGCTTCCCTTTCATCTAGCACTCAGACTCATGGAATATCAGGGCCAGACACAAATGCAGAAATGATTTCCTGATTCTCTCATGTAAATCGTCACAGTGAGTCCACAGAGACCAGGGGAGAATGACACCTTCACCCTCACACAGTCTAGCCTGGCCGGCTTCCACCACACCCCGCCCTCGGGTCCCGGTCCCAGCTGCTGTAGGAACGTCCCCAGCGCTCCGAGGTGTGGGGCAGGTTGTGAGAGAGCTCACAGGCGGCACCCTCCTCCTGGTACCTGAGCACACGGTCCGAGGCCTGGCTGGACTTGGACACGTCACAGCTCTGGTGCTTCTCCTGCGCCTTGGCCAGTTTCTCTGCTGCTGCGATCGGGCATCCGGAAAGGCTGCAACCACAGAAAGCAGGATGAATGGTCCCCCCTCAAACGCTTTCACAGCACACCAATCATCCCTGAGCACGAGGACCCTGATGTGGGCGCAGCTGGTGGGGGAGGGGTGGCTTCCCAAACCTGGCCTGGGGCAATCCTGATGGGTGGACTGGGAGAGGAAAGGTGCTCATGACCTAGAGCCTGCTTTCTGCAAGGTTTCCAGCAGAGAAGGCCGTGGCAGTGCTGCGTGTGAGGTGTATTCAGTCCTTTGCAGCGAGAGCACGCCAGCTCCCATGCATTCGGGAGGACACCACGGGGGAAACTGTAGACACAGATTCTACTATGGATGCCCGCTGTTTCTGGGGATGAAGAACTAACAGCTTGGGTGGGGTGAGTTTTTAAGCCCAAGAATGGCAATGCAAGGCTGTTACCAGAAGATGGAGCTCTAAGCTGATTTCCTAAATGCCACTGACCGTGGCCTCTAGGGTGGTCTGTCTAAGCCATTTTCCTAAATGCATTGACCGTGGCCTCTGGGGGGCTCTGTCTGGCTTTAGCCCTTTGGTGTTCTCCAAGAGCAGGGAAACGAACGTGGAGAGGACCGCAGAAAGATTTCTCGGACGGCAGTAACGTGTGCTGGAGCCAAACGGTTCAGGCTTAGTCTAGATGCGGGAGACGCCAGATGGGCTCTTTTGTGCTCAAGCTCATTTTACATGAAATCACTGTGTCTGCTCCGTGGGTGTCCACATGCATATCTACGCATATGCACAGACACTCACCCCATATATGTGTCATACCCCAAAAATACGCCTGTGCTGAGGTCTGACGGAGGCCCTGACGCTGCCACATGAACAGCACCCAGCACAGAGCTCCCCAACCCATCTAGCGCCTCGTGCCTCGGCAGATGAAACACCTCCGGAGGGCACAGCGGTCATTTGTTTCATTATGAATTTAACACAAAGAACCAGGTTTGCCAGTCAGCCAAGCACAAATTAGAGTAAAGCTGATGACAGTTTCCTTCTTTTAGATATAATTTTATGTGAACTCATAAAACCATAGACTGTAAGACAAACTTGGGAAGAATTACTTTTCAGCTTCTGGATAAAAAGTTATCGGATAAGAACTGAGTATCATGGGCAACTGAGTAGCTCCTATCAAGCCTGAACAGGATGGAAAAAGAGAACTGAAATCTTTCACAAACAAAAGAGTGATTCTGCATATACTTGTTCACAGCGGAAGTCCAGGGTCTATTTCTCCCCCTCAGCCTGCAAAACACCCTCAGGTTGTTCTGAAGGTGTCCATACTGATGACCTGGGGTTTCCGCAAAATTCCAAGGGCAGCCACGCCAAGCGACACACTGTACAGGCTTGCTGCATTCCTGGTCATGTGCTGTCCAATGGGCACCAGAACAGCCCCATCTACACCCCGGAGGACAGCCCCATCTATCTACAACCCAGAGGACAGCATCATCTATACCCGGGAGGACAGCATTGTCTATACCTGGGAGGACAGCCCCGTCTACACCCCGGAGGACAGCCCCATCTATACCCAGGAGGACAGCCCTGTCTACACCCAGGAGGACAACCCTATCTACAACCCAGAGGACAGCATCATCTATATCCTGGAGGACAGCATTGTCTATACCTGGGAGGGCAGCCCTATCTACACCCCGGAGGACAGCGAAGGCGTGGCCTCCTTCCCTCCAGTTATTATAAATGGTCATGGTTTCCACTCTTGACACAATGCTCCATGATGCTAAGCGGGGTGGGGCACCTCAAATCATCCCTTTTACACCACAAGTGCGGGGAGCACTTGCCACTTCTGTGCGTCATGTGGAGGTGCCTGCCCTTCATGGGGAGCACCATGGGGAGCGCCGTGGGGAGCACCGTGGGGAGCGCCGTGGGGAGCACCGTGGGGAACGCCGTGGGGAGTGCCGTGGGGAGCATGGCCAGCCTCCCTGGGGAGGAGGAGGCATGGAGAGTGGTCGACGTGCCCTCCCACACCAGTGCCGCGCGCGTGACTTACCTTCGGTGGGAGTTCCTGTTGCTGTTGACGTGCCCGCGCCCCGTGCAGCCTGGAGTGGGGCACTTGAGGACACTTTCATGCATGGCAAGGACTTGATGGGGAGAGGCAAAGAGAACAGCCAGCATTAAAACAGGCATGGTCAGGACACACGAGAATGCAGTCATTTAACAAGGGCCAGGTCGCTCAGGACAGACAGTCCTACAAACGTTTGTGATGGGCATGGTCAGGAAAACACACATGGGAGGAGAGAGAGGGTTGACTGGACCCTACGCTAAAGGCCTCGCACAGCAGGGGCGCTGGACCCAGGAGCCAACTCCATCCTCATGCGCTAGAGGAGCCAGGGACTCCCAGACGTTTCCCATGCCTAAGCACTGAGGATTCATTCGCCATAGAACAGCACAGAGGCTGCGGATGTTAAAAACACACCTGCGCTTTGGAAACACACAGCATTATGAACGTGTGGGGGGCAGATGAAGAGAGAACCACAAACCTTAATTTTAAATAAAATGAAATAATCACTCTTCTTTTAGGAATCAAGGGCTTTATTATTCTTTAAATAGAATGAACTAGAATAGTAAGCATTCTGCATTTTTACCCTGTGAAATTAACAAGTGGGAGAGGCCAGGCAGACACTCCTTGTGGTGCAAGGATGCTGCCGGCCGGTTGGCAGGGGAGAGCGACTTGCACTTTCCCAGCAGTGGTGTTGGACCAGACTCATTTGTATCTTCCTTCCCCTCTGGTCCTTCGTGAACACGCCACTACCCTGGGTTCTGGGGGAAGGTCAGCAGGGATGAAGTCACCCCCACACGGACCCCTTCTGCATGATGCCTCCTCCTCTGAGCCTGCTGTCTCCAAACTCCAGGGGAATGGTGGCGGCTTTCCCTGCCAGCAAGGTTTACCTGAGGCCAGGTGAGCCTGTGAGGCCTATTTAAAACAGACCTGCCTGCCCTAGTTAGGTAATTCTATTTTCTACTCTTTTCCTCCTCCTCTAGAGCAGCCTCTCTCTTTCCCCTGCAGTCTGCTGGGCAATGAATCCCATATCCATGCCATGACCCAAGTCCACAGCCTGTCTCCTCACTGTGGGGCGGACCCCCCAACAGAGCCTGCTCCGGTGTTAGCGTTATAACTCCCACAGGTCCTGCCTTGTCCTGGCTGTGGGAGGTGCCTAGTAAGTGCCCTCAGCAAAATGAATAATCAGAGTGAGTCCACCTTTGGCTCATCTTGTGCTGGGACCTGGCTGGAGGGTGTCACAGTAGGGCTCCTTTTGGAGGGGTCCGAGCACAGTTCCTCACCCCCTTCCTCCCCTGTCTCAGAGGAAGCAGTGCTGCTCCTTCCTTCAGGGACACCTCCAGGAATCAGCTGCATGGTCCCACTTCCTGCCGGACATGGATCTACCTACTTCATTCATTCTTTCTTCTTGACCATTTGCCCACCACCACATGACACCAGCACACAAATGCTTCCTGCTGACATGCACCTGCACCGCACCTTTCCTTTTGTGGTGAACTTTTCAGAGTCTTCTGTGGAGATGGTGCACGTGGGTCACTCTCACCTGAGGTCCAGATGGCAAGTGGACCCTACCCTCTCTCCTGCTGCCTGGGACGCACACTCCCAGCCTCGCCACTGCATCCACCTGAGGTGGCGCGTGCTTGCTATCCTCGGTCTCCACGCTGCTGCCACTTCATCCATCTCAACCGCATTTCTCAGGCGTCTGCAGCATGTGCAGCTCCTCTCCTCTCCTCTCCTCTTCTGTCTCTCGGGGTCAACAGGAAGCTTTTACTCGTAAGAAACCCTGTGACCCCTGCAGTTCCTCTCAGACTTCCGTGGCACCCTGGCCGGTGCCTTCCTATGCAGGGCTTTCTCAGAAACACCTTCCTCTCCTGGTTTTCGGTTTCTTTGATTTTCCTCTACCTGCTCCTGCTTCATCTTACCATACACTCACGGCCAAACTTCCCATTTCTGGGCCCTCCTTCATTCCTGCTTTATGCCTCCTTCCAAAGCAATTCCATTCCCCGTTTCCACCAATGCTGCTTCAAGGATGGAATCCAGGTAGCCACCTCCACACCTGACCTCCCCTGGCCTCCAGAGCCACCTCCCCAAACCCTGCTAAATATCATGCAGCTCCCCCAACTCAAGTGGGAAGAATGCAAGTCCCAGGTTCTCCACCCAATGTGGCCCCGCTGCTCAGCTCTCTGTATGGATTATCAGCCCTGGTGCCCTTAGGTTCACCGAGGCTACCATCCTTGGGGTTCTCTTGGTCTCCCCTCTTCTCTTACTCCTCACATGTGCTGCTATCCACGGCCTGCTGCCTGTCTCTGGACGTTTCATGAATCTGCGCCAGCTTTTCCGTTCCCACTACTGCTGTCTTTTCCATGCCCTGCCCCTCGTGTGGACTTTCACAGCAGCCTTTAGAAAATGCCGTGGGTTCCTTGCCTCTCACACAGGACAGCAGGAGCAGCACCTCAGGGTAGCCTTGGGGGCCCCGGGAGGAGCTCTCCCTCCCGTCTGGACCATGCTGTGGCATCTCCACCATGCAGGGCCCTGCCTCATGCCCAGGCCCTTCTTTCAGCTGGGCGGGGAGCTCTCTGAGGGCCAGCACGGTGTCTCGGGGCCTGACACAGTGTGCTGTGGGTTTCTTTATGAAAGTCAGTTGGACGGAAATGATGATTAGGGGAAACTAGCCCAGAAAAAAAAGAAAGCCTTCTATGGATGGAATTCTCCAACTGTTTTAGCAAATGCTTGTGGCGTTATAAAGAATCACACGGAAGCAAAGGCTGAGAAGCTTCCTCTGCGCTGCCTGGAGCGCGGTGGTGCTGTCTGTGTCAGAGCTGAGCTCTCCCTGACTCTGAGCGCGATCCGACCCTGGGAGGCACCTGCTGCTGGCGCGATGCACCCCGTACCAGTCCACACCCCACACCTCCACTTCACCGAGGCCTGTCCTGTGAAAACAGGGAGTCAGAAGAATTTCCCATCCATAAAAAGGAGCCGATAATCTATCTCGAAGGTGAAAATGTGGGCTTTAAAAATACATAAAGAAACTCTTTCTTCTTAAAACACTAGAGCTTGGTCCTACTGCCTCACTTTGTAAATGAGGAAAATGAAGTACAGACAGCCTGCAAGGCACCTTCAGGCTGAAACTGGAGCACCAGAGCCAGGTTTCAGAGGAGACAGACAGGCTTGGAGGTCAGAAACATACGGACTCACGTTTTACCTCGAAGTTTCCTTAAGTAAGGTAGTGCCTGCTCAGATTTGTACAGCCTGTTTCCAGGCACTGGCTCACCTCTGAAAGAGGGCAGCAGAGTCTCTGACTCTCATCTTCCTCATCTGAATGAGAGTGCCAGTGTTGGCCTGCAGTGTTGACTGGGTATAGGTGAACTCGTGTTTGCTGGGTGCGAGCCGCGCCCGGCACGAAGTGTGTGCTGGGTGCATGGAAGCTGCTGTCAAACCATGCTGTCTCCCTGCTCATGTAACACACGGGATTGTAGCCACACGCTCTCATTTGTTTATTTTCACGGCTCTTCAGGCTTGTTCACAAGACGGTTACAAAAAACACAAGTTTGCTATTTTTAGGAGCCGTTTGAAAACCTGGAGCTATAAGAGCATCTACAGATCTTTCTCTTGAAAATGTTCAGCCAAACCTTCCTAAGTCCCAAATACTCCTACAGACTTGTCCTTGGGCTGCCAGATTTTGCTCTCAAGTAACCCAAAGCTCCCCATTTTAATTGGGCAGTCCTCAAAAGGTCCTTTAAGTAAGTAACTGGTCATCTTGTCATGTCTCAAGCCATGTTATGACATGCTCCCCACTAGGAACTGGGTTTTAGACAGTAAGGGAGACACTTCAAAGCCACAGACTCAAAGCCAGAGCCTTAAACTCACTCACTCATTTCTGAGAATGTGCCTTTTCCCTGAACAATCAATTTTAGCTGTTGTATTTAATTAATTGTCATGCTTTATGTGCTGAAAGGATAAATAAAAAAAGATGTAATCATTTCAGTTCCAAAAATATTTTTCGCTATATTCATGGATTTATTCCACATGATCAGAGCCTAATTAATTAATTAAAAAGAATGCTTAAGATGCAAACCCATCTGATTTCAACCTCCTTCCTTAAGAAAGAAGCTACAGTGTTGAAATGTCAAGACGACTGCAATGAGACAGAGTTTACAAGTGAAATGCAATAAACCTTCAGCTCTAGAAATGCATGTGGATAATATACAGAAATCCAGCTGTTTGGGCAAGAAATGTCTGTCTCAAGGCCTCTGTGCCCCCTGGGATCCACAGCAGTTTCATGCTGGAAGGGATGTCTCAGAGACCATCGAATTCAGTTCTGTGACTGGGAGAAAAGAACCCTAGAAGGAGCCTGCCCAAAGTCACGGAGCAGGTTCGGTCTGAAATTGGGACTAGAACCCAGGCCTGTTCAGGAGCTTTGTGACAGGGTGGTGGGCGTCAGGGTGCGTCTCTTCTGGGGTCGTGCCATTGGCAGGCCCATGAATCCTGCATGAGTTGCCTGTCAAGGTAAGTAGGGGCCTAGTTAAATCAGGTCGCACTGAGCCGGCGATGGAGATGATGTCAGGTAAGAGGGATGACAGAGACAGAGTCATGGGCGTGGGCACCCACAAGGGTAGCGGTGAACGTGGACTTACTTTCTGGAGGGACCCTATCTTTGTGCGGGCATCCGGACAGGCTGCGGTGATGTGGGTACAGCCCAGTTACGTGGCCGGTTCCATCACACCCCGGGGTTGGACACTTGCTCTCTTTCTTTTCTGTTCTTGAGGGATCTAAAAGCGACAACAGGTGCCAAGAGAATGAATGTTTACCAGTCGAAGACAAAAGTGATTATTTAACAATCTGAAGAAACCTTGCTAAAGAATGAAATAAAGCAGCTGTCAGAGGGCCAGGCTGCGACATCAGACTCTGCTTAGGTAGCTCTTTGGTTTTGGGTGACTTTTTCAACCTTACACAGCATAATTATGAATCATAAAGTATTTTAATTGTTATTCTAAAGAAAAGAAAAGCCTACTCCTCTCTTCACTCTGATTATTTTCCCGTGTGTTACATGATAAGCCGTGTTGCTCAGAGGAATCAACGGAAATCGTGATGAGACAGTGACCTTCTTAGAGAACGAAACTCTGTGCCGTCGTCATTCAGCAATTTGCCGTGAAATTCAGCCATAGAGTTTCATTCCATTCAGAAACTCTTCAGCTGAATTTCTCTCTTATTGCGTGCTCTGATCACATACGCTAGAAGCTGTAGGATTTTCCTGGCATTGAAATTTGCTCTCTGGAGGTTAAGTGACATTGTTTCATAGCGCACCAATTCAGCGCTTTTCTGAAAAGAAACTGAACTCTCAGAAGGCACTGTAAGCAAATGACCAAAAAGGTGGAGAGCCCACCTGACAGAGGTGACGGGTAATCAACAAGTTTCAGAAGCCACAGGAGCAGCCTTTTGTTTTGGTTTCTTCATCTGTACTTGGAACCAGAGGAAGGCTCGTAGAATGCCATGCATGCATACACAGAATTAAGAAGTAATGGGTTTCTACAGCCCTGTCGGCTTCTCTGCAAGTACCAGTCAAGGGCAAATTCGGGCAGAGCTTTGGTTAAAAAAAAAATTCAGTGCTAGAGGCCAGAAATGTAATGATATTGCTAATAAAATTATTTCTATACCCAGAATTGACTACAGTTCATAAATATGCAATATAATAACTTCAAAAAATATTTCTAAGGTAAAACTTAGACCAAACAGTAAATCTAAGTGTGTGAAACACTGTATTTTTAGCCAGTTTTTGAAAACCAGTTGCTCAGATCACCAACAGATAGCAACTATTATTATTTAGTCCAGATATGGGATACATTTTCTTTAGGGATTAATTCTTTTTGATATTTCAGTAATCAGGCCAATCATGATTGCTAGAAAATGCATGTTTTACTTTGGGCTAAGAATTCACTTTGTATTGATAAAAAGCTGGATTTAAAAGTTTTTGAACTCTTATGGACTTTTCATTCATGCAAGTGAACTTGAAATCAGTGAAGGACTAGCAGAGCAGACAAATGCTATCACGTTCATATAGAAAGCGCCCCCCTTTTCTTCCTTAGCTAACATCTCATTCTGCATGATGTGCCTCTCATGTGCTGGAAACTCTTAAGCCAGTACTGGTGTTGAAGGAAATACCATTTGTACAATCATCGGGTACTTTCCTACCATTATTTATCAAGAAGAACCTTTGAGAAGAAATCTAAAATTATGTGGTTGTGGCTTCAATTTCTAATTAGATTACTGGAACTTCTCTTACACATGCAAACAAAAATGCCTAGCACTTCACTCCTTTTCAATAATTTCACAATAATGTTGGTATAAATCACTGTAAACATAAATCACCGTAAAGTAGTAAGTGCACAATAACAGTTTCAAAAGAAACACTGACAATCAAAAATCATAAACTAGAGATAAGAGATTTTAAACTAGATGTAAATGGCTAGTGACGGGTGCAAAAAAGTGTAAGGTCTATCTATTATTCGTCCTTAAGTGACTCTATTCTATCAGGACACTTATGATTTCCTAACAAAATATATCACTTCACAGATTTCGAAAGTTCTGGGAAATTAAGTAGGGATTTGCATGAAAACGAATGTGGCTCCAAAGCATTCCAGGTTTTAGAAGACAACAAGGGTATACTCTCCTCTCGATGCATGAGGTCCTGGCTGAGGTGGGGTCGTGCTATTTGCCTTCACCGTTAGCTCCCCTTGCTCTCTTGCTTCTTGTAATCTCAAAAGCAAACATACAAGCAAACACAAAATAACCAAGCAAGCGAAGGAACCAACAATTTAACCAAATGCCTTGCAACAACTTACAGAAAAAAAAAGTGTGCTGTTTAGCTTGCACCCTTCGCTTGTAGAGCAGGTTACTGGGTAGAAGACAGAGGAGTTTCATGATCCAGGCCTTTTGCATTAGCTTAAGATTTTGGAAATGTGACTCATTGGTAATTTAAATCGGTGTGAGGAGATTGTGTAGAAATGAGAATACAAGTGTGCTCTCCATTTTTAATAAAATAACAGTGTCTGAAAATAGAGCCTGTTGACACGCTAGTGGAGGCAGCGATTCTCTGTTGACTGTGTTGGTGAGACAGTATCACAGTGTTTTTAAGGGAGCCTCTTTGCTCCACTTTGTTGGCCTTGCTTGGCTGTATGTATTTTGTTCTGGATATAACTACAGACATCTTCAAAGGACATTTGGAATAATGTGGAAAACACTGATAGACACGGAAATGAGCTTTGGTCAGGGGGAGAAGACCTGGAACAGCTGGGGGAAACGGAAGTCAATGCCTTCCGCTTACAGGAAAGTCAAAATCCGCAACCTCTCCTCATTTCAGGGAAAAAGCACGTCTCAGTTCTTACTGTTCATTCCCACCCGACCCCATTTATACAGGGGAAGCAAGCAGTTTGATTTTCATTTTCTTGCAAACAAAACAAAACCAGAACAAAACAAAACGAGTTAAAATTTGCATAAAGCCACTGAGTTTAAAGGGACCAAGAAACCAAAGAAGCCACTGCAACAGAGAATTTGCAAAGCTAAATCCGCCTTCTCCTTTACACAACATATCCCTACCTTGCTTGATACCAAAACTCCATCCTAAAATCTATCATCCGGGATTCTGAAACACAAGCCTAAAATACATGTATGTGTCCAACTGAGCAATCACATGAGAAGAAGACACTTTTTCTTCCCCCAGAATAAAAATGTTTCATTCCTGGATGATTCTCAAAACTTTAAATAAAAATTTCTAATAGATAATTTTAGCCCATCTTGTTAACAATGGTAGCACTGTGATTTTAAACATATGTGCTATGTTTCATAGTCTTTAAAATGCCCAAACCAGGCCCGAAGCTCTACTGAGCTACAGTCTACTAATTCTCTTTCCTTTAAAAAAACAACCCCTTCGCTACATAATGACACTAGAAGGGGCAAGTCTTCACCTTGCTACTGAAATGCTGCCTGTGCCTGGCACCTGCCGAGAGCCCCTGAGCCTCTGGCTAAGGTACCCCTACAGTTTGCGTTTGGCTGTGGTGATGCCCAGCTTGCCCCAGAAGGTAGGTGCACACATTGAGAGGAGAATACACGCCCATGCCACAGTGGAAAAAAGATGCAGTTTTTCTGATTGTTTGAAGTTTATATAGCAACTGATTTTCAAGTAAATTCCTGAACCTCACTATTGGGTTCATCGTGAGAGAACTCAGGATTCATCATGAATAGAATAGAATAAAAAACAGAAAAGGATCTTTGGGTACTAGCATAGAAGGATTTCATGAACTGCCAATTTTATTATTTAAATTGCTTCTCACTGAGTTGTAAAAGAATATTGTGATGGAGATATTCACAAAGCTGAGGTTCTGCATGAGGCTGATTAGAGCATGCCTCATATGGAAAGTGGACACCGCCCCTTACAAACGTGAAAACCATCATTCAGGTTGGGGATACATATATACATGATCTGCTTACATACATATAGTATACATATATATATGTAATGACAGCTAAATGAATCGACACATGCAAACATGTGCCCACATACTTCATAAAAGAAAACTCAGCTAAAACTATCGTGTGGGATAGTTTTTGAGTGTTTTATAAAATTAATATTTGAGAAAAGCACCGTAAGTGTTTCCACAGTGGAATGGAATCAGTGAGGGGGAATGAATACTCTAAAGACATTGCTATTGATCTTAGCTGAGGCCATATCATGCCTTGCATAGCAAATGGTTTCCATTACCTTCCTACCTGAAGATAATTAATGTGCAGTCACTGCCCTTATCTTATGTTATTGGTCATTCGGTTAGTGTTCAATTTCTATCAGGGACGTTTTCTATGAGGGCAGTTTCATCAATAACTGTCATTTGATGATAATTTTATAAATCATGATGCCACCTACGCAATCCCATTTATAAAATATGTGCTTTATCTTGGATTGACTAATTGTTACATAAACCCTTGCCACTCAGCATAGATTGTGGTTCATTTATGACAGCACAGGCTTACCCTAAGATTTCTATCACGTGATGTGTCTGTGCTGTAACCCTGTCTTCCCGAGGAATGCACTCCCACTGAAATATCCTATTACTCATCTGCTCTAATAACATGACATTGAGCTGCTTTATGTATTTCTCAGATAAATATTTTATTTGCTCTTCAGAAACATAATCACAAAATATCCTTCTGGAACCAACTCTAAGACTGTGCAGCAGAGACAGAATTCTGTATGAGTCATACGTTAACTGCAGGTATCATCAACATCCTTTACCCTAGCTCATGCTTTCATGAGGCAACTTACGTTAGGTAGAAATATTACCTTTACCATAGTATGGCTTTTTGACATGGCTGTCACTGGATTTAGGCTTTCTGTCCTCCCCGGGAAGTTGTCTTGGAGACTGGTCCTCATATGACCTCATATTGTCCCTCCTCCCGGCTTCCATTGCCATCTTCTCCCTCATGGCCTTTGCTCTTTCCGTTTCCAAAGCAATGGCTTTCTCCAGCAGGGTCAGGTTGCCCTTGGTCATGTCAAATACCTCTTCGGACCGGTCCGAGTTCACGGAGGTGGCGTCCTCGTCCCTCTCGTGGCACCCGTCCTCCTTCGCGCAGCTGGAGAACACTCTCGACCGCGGGCTCAGCTGCTCCTCTAGCCGCATGAGGTTCAGCATGTCCGAGTAGTTTCTGTCCGGCGTCCTTCCCGGGAAGTCCTCCTCCTGCCGCACGTGCTGGCGGATGTTCATGTTCTGCTGCGGATTCCTCTCCTGCGGGTTGGTCTCGCTGAGCTTCCTGGCCAGGTCGAAGCACTGATTCCTCAGACACTCCAGACTGCTCAGACACACCTCCTCGTCGCTCTCCTCCACCATCTTCTCCATCAGTCCATTGTTCATCGGCTTCCCCAGCATGACGTAATTCATATTTCTAGTGTCCTGCTGCGACATGCTGTCTGCATAACTTCTGTCATTCATGTTTTCTGAGAGCACGACACCGTGTCCTTGGGCTAATAACTTAAGGGAGTCCACCGTTTCTCTAACGACGTCGCTGTCTAAGTCTAAGCTCAACTCACTCTTCCGACCCAGGTTTTCGTTTTTCTCACTGTCGTCTTCCAGACTGTTGGAGGTATTGCTGTTCATTTCCGACTCAGTCCTGGCCCGGTAGGCCGCGTCCTCGGCGATCTTGCCGAGGTTCAGCAGCGACTTGGCCACCAGTTCATCGTAATTGTCATATTCCTCATTATTGTTATCGTCCTTTTCTGTGTCTTGCATTATTCGAGTATTGTGACAATTCATTTGATGGTCTTCTGCAAAGAAAATAAAAAAGACAAAAAAGAAAAGAAAAGGAAACAGTGGCTAGAACTGGAAGTTTAGTTGCAACAGCATGGACAGCACGTTAACGGCAAGTCAAACTCTATCACCTCACAGAACCGTAAGTCCCATCCGCAGCTGGGCTGAAAAAGTTGACACAAAGAACACGGATGTCGCTAAAAAACAGAAGGCCATCTAAAATATCTGTGGTTATTATTAATTTCTTTAGTTGATCTTAAGATAAACCAGTCAATGTGGCAAATACGACTCTAAAATATTAATTTTGTACTTTTCGTAGATTTTCAGAACGACTTGTTTCCTCCATTGGCTTGCTTTATCTACAGCCTCACCAGATCCGTATTAACTGCCCTCCTCACATTACCAGGCTTTCTCAGAGTTCGTGAACTTTACTTGTTACCAACTCTGAAGCAGATGTTTGCAGCAAGTGCTTTTAAATGGCCTATTTTCACAGTGGTGTGCGGGCAACACGGCGGCCGGCCTCGGGTGCCTGAGGACTCAGGCAGGGGTGCCGCCTGCTTTGGGAGCTCAGAATCATAGGCATGTGTTGGGGCTGAAATAAGAATTCTTTGGAATCCAATACCTCCGAGACACTTTATCATGACACACAGTGAAGCAACAGAAATTCCACAGTAAAAGTTTAGAAAGTAAATCTGATTCCTCTGTCTGTGTCTCCACAGGTTTGAAAGTGAAGAGAGAACGCGTGTGATGGCCAAAGGCCTGTGAAAGGCGGAGCTGGGGAGAGCTGGCCCGTTCCTGCACACGCTCCTGCACGGCATTTGCCTGGACAGGCAGACCCGGCCTGTTTACCCATCCCACAGCCTCAGGAAAAGCTTGCGGAGTGGGTATAATGTGTGAGGAAGTGTCATGCTTAATCTCAAAAAAGTATTTAGAAAAACTCTTTTAAAAAGACCATGTTAAAAATTACATTAAAATCCCTATGTTTTATCTCAAATATGTTCTGTTTCACACTCAAAGAGCATTTGGGATTTGTACCTCTAACTGCCGTGCTATGTCGTTGCTTTCATGTACATTGCATAACATAAGTAATAACAAAGGGTTCCTAAATGTACCTGCATCCTTAGATTCGATTTGGCTAACTGCATGCCATTTTTTGCATTTATTCTTTGTTTTTATTATTTAAAATCCAGAGTAAGAAGAATGTTTAAAGTTTATCCGTGATTTAAAGACATGAGGTATATTGACTACTACAAAATATCAGCACACTAAAAGCTGAGATGTGGGGCCTCTGGTGTTTTCTCTATGGGTTTTATGCAGAAAAGCCTTTTGTTAGTGAAAAAAGACTTGGTGTTCAATATGTCAATAACAGAATAATATCCTGGTTATCCCATACTGAAGTAAGAAATATTGAAGATCAGATACATCTTTCTAAATTTCAGCAAATCAAATTTACCTTTTATTAGACATAGAGCATCACTAATTGTGTGAAACAAATATTGCTCTTCTTCTGGATAATTCCTATAAATCATCTTATTTGTTATAAGGATAAAAGTATTCCCCAAGAGCAGTGCAAAGAAAGAAAATCAAACTAGTGAATTCAATCAGAAACACTGTGGAAGCATTCATCTCCAGCATACGCCTTGTCATTGCCTAGTATTTGAGCTTTAGGAATTGAAGTCAATCCTGTTTTAATGAATATTTGGAAATATAAAAGTTATATTCTCCTCTCAATTTATGCACTTTGTTATATTCATGGGCTGTAATTAGAGAAGTTTCCTCAGAATAACCAATCTGTGTTACCTCTGCGCAGTAACCTTGGCGAGTTTTAACAGCCAGAATCGCTCTGTGAAGACCCAACCATGAGATGAATAGGTTATGATTTAAAAACAAAAAAGCACAGGCAACATGTGGAATCATTTTGAAAGCTGAGTCAAAGAAGAAACCACAGTCAAGCAAGACATTATTTTCATGATGCCCTCCTAAATTTCTTTTATGGAACTCATCATGTGGTCCTGAAGAATTTGAAAAAGAAGCAAGACCTTGAACAGGCGAACAAGAAAAGAAGAAGCCTGTCTAATCCTCTTTGCTGGTTCTAAAGCCACAAAACCCTGCAGGTGGAACAGAACACTGGCTCATGTCTTACTATCTTCACCTCCCTACAAATGTGCTATGCACAAAACAGAATCCTCATATCCCAAATCTCAGGATTATCTTCAATGCGTTCCCCTCTCCATTCTCCCTTCTGCAGCAGAGAATTCAGGAGGACATCTTGCCTTTCTGATAATCGGACATTTATCTGTTTCTCCACTCAATTCATAAGTTACCTTCTCCAAACAAAATTAAAACAAAAAAGGATAAGCTTCACACACGATCACAGCCGATCTGATGGGTGAGGCTGAGAACAGCCAAGCAGAAAGTCCCTGTGCCGTCTGGAGACCGCAGAATGTGGCCACCTGCAATGCATCTCCAGCTGTATACTCTAAGCACGTAGCACAGCGAGGGCACCGTTTGTCCTCAGACCAGACTGAGAAGGAGTTAGGAGTCCCACAGCCTGGCGCCCTCATGACTTTGCTGGTTTCTAATTGTGTGATGCTGGCGACTCAAGTCTCCAAGCCTTAATCAGCTCAGTGGGGATAGTAAAACCTCCTGGCCTTTCTTCAGATCCCCTACAAGAACCACAGCACAGAATATGCCTCCTAAAGACCACAGTCTGCTGTCTTATCATTAGCCCCAGAGCTGACTCCTGGGAAGGCAGCCTGTTGGTAGAAGAACCCTAGAAACAGGCCGTGGAAAGTATGTTGGCATCTGAACACACAGCCTGCCGTGCGCTTCCACCCTTCTTCAAAGTTCCTTGTGCTCAGTGTGAAGAGAGTCTCTCCTGGCAGCAGCAAATGTGGGGGCGGCTGGTGAAGATGGCATGAGTGGCCTCAAAGCCTGGCAGGTGAATGGAATTTCTCTAGCTACTGGTATTTAACGCTTTCAAAACATATGTGAAATAAAGTCAACTCCTAATTACGTGGGCTCATGCAGGGGAACAACCAGTCTGTCCATCAACAAGCAGGCTCTGAATCTCTGCTGGGCGTCATCAGCCTCATCTGGAATTCAACATGGTGCACAGTGAGCTTTTGGGACCCGCCCCCCCTTCCCGGTTCTACACACTTGCTTCCAGGTATGCTTTTCTGAGGCTAATAATGAAATCAGTCACAGGATGGGATGGGCTTTGGGAACTAGATCAGAATTTTCTGTGCCAGTTTGGGGTTACAAACGTGATATAAACAATCCACAAAATGAACATCCCAACCTCAAAATTCAGGAGACCATTTTACTAGGGTTTTTTTTTTTTTTTTTTTTTTTTTTTTTTTT